CATCATCATCATCATCATCATCATCATCATCATCATCATCATCATCAGCTTCAAGAACCTATAAAAATGTAGGTTGTAAACAGAAAGCTCGTCTCTTCACATGGTGCACATAGATGATTCTAGCTCGGCTCAATCCGGAGAATTCCCCGCAGGCACCGTGGCACCGAGGACTTCACGTCTTTTTTCACACAGTTCGAATATCGGGAACACTGGTATCATTGGAATACCCTAGACCGTATGCCATTGATATCATATCAAGACCATATCAAGACCAGACAATTTGTATCGGTTTCAGATGCCAATGCATTCGGTGTTGTTGTTTTCGACTTGCTGATCAGCTAATAGGAAGTATCCAACTATAATGCATTCACCAGGAGAAAGATTATGTCTCTGTTACTTTACAACCATTGGCATTTTGAGGGTTTGAGGTGGTTTCCCACTTTAGATTCCTGAGCAGGGTGGCACGGGACCATGATGTCATGTATTCAAAAGGGGGTGTTTTTTTGCTGATTGATGTGATTTCCAGGGAAAGCACCTTTCATTCAACCAATTGTTCTGGCAAACATGGTTGCCCAAGGTGGTGTAGCCAACACGGTTACCTCTGTGGCGTCGTACGATGTTTTTTTGGGGGTGAATTTGCTCATGTTCGATACGATTGCGTGGATCAATTTGCTCATGTTCGATACGATTGCGTGGATCATGAAGGCATCGTGTCCTTGTTTGGTGCACAATTATCATAGTTGGAAATAGTGAGAATATCAAATCCTGCAAAGCTCCACGATACTGTAGATTCTTTGTAGATCATCGATTCCCTTCTGGATTCTGGATCCCCTTATATCTTTGCCCAGCCCACCCAACGGAGAGCTCGAAGCTCCAGCTGCCCAGGTCTTGATCTGGAAGGCCGAGAAGCGTTCGAAGAGCGGCGGTTTGGCGAAAGTCAGGGACGACCAGCCCACGCCTCGCTTCCAGGAGCCCTTGGACAAGCGTGCACTGGGCTGAACGCTTTGTTCGGTTGCGGTTGTTGTAGGTCAAAGACCTCATTTGGTTGGTCATACAAAAATATACTCCAGGAGGTAAAGGACTAGGAACTATTATTAGAATAATAGCCGGCCTATCAATCGGTTTGGACAAAGGGACTCATGCACCTTGAAAAAAGGTTACTGGGAATTTGAAAAGTCCGATGCCAGCAAGAACGTTATGCCCCATCTTGGATGGTTTGGTTGCGGGCTGCGAAGGACAATAGATGCTCATTAATTTATTTATCTGCCACCAGAGGAGCCCTTCTACTCAGCGTGCACAGATGATCAGATGCCACTGTGAAGAGCACGCTGTAGTCTAGTAGTTACACTGCAAGTGGCTTACTACCTTGAAACATCTTGACACCATTGACCTTGTAATAATACTGTAACTCACATGTAAGCGAAGTTGCTTGTAACTTTAAATAGTATCAGGCTTATAACTTGATGAGATCTATTGTATCCATTTACAAATTGTCTTAACCATGATATACAATATATGTTCAAACATGTTATAGCTTGATTTCTATGTAAGGTAAAACCAAAAACCATTAATTAAGTTGACGGAGACACATTCAATAACCTGCTCAACAATAGGATCACTCGGGTGCAGACGTGGCTGAACCCATTGGATGCCAATGACATTGAAGGTGCAGCTGAACCCATTGAAGGTGCATTGAAGGCGACGGCATCGCAGTGATGAGCCTCAACCACCCTCACCACACCACGTCGGCGTCTGGCCGTCCAGCGAGGGGCGATCAGCTCGCTGTACTCGACTGTGCAGGGTTGGCCTTCGCTGTGGCCAAAGCCACCATTCTCGATGACGCCCAGCCTGCCACACCACCTACGCCCTGCCGGTCGGGCGCTCGACGGCCACTCCGATGAGAGCTAGCGCCTGGTCTCCGATGCGCCTCCTCTTCGCCTGCTCTCACCACGCGTTGTCTCCCGGGCATGACTGGTTTGGTACCAAGGTAAGGTCTATGTTACGGTAAAAGGATGTGCCTATGCTGCACAGCAAGGTGGATTTCCCGCTTTGAATGTTGCCCAGCTTGATCAGTATCAAGAATTGCTTCATCTACTTACCGTTGCTGCATTCAGGCTGGCGCACATAAACCACAGGCTGGCACTCCAGCTGATATGGTTCAAGAGCTTTCATTGGAAGAGCTGGACCGTTTTCATGACTTATATACTCCTGATGGGTCCAGGTCCGTTTCACAATTGCATCAAGAATAGACTCTGTGCTTGAGACAGTGCTGTAGCTGGTTCTTGCATCAACGAGGACTTCGCAGGTGACGGTGCCGCAGCATGCAGTGCCGCAGCATGCGGAGCTAGCGCCAGCACAAGTACTGCCAAGCCAGATAGATCATCCATATAAGCAGGAGGGAATAGTTTTGAAGGCGGGAAAACCGCATTTTCTCGGTCTGGAGGCCGTGGAAATGTCTGGCAGGGCGAGTCATTACAGGTGGTACCAAGCCTGGGCAGCCTGGGTCCTGGGTGGCAAACAGCTTCACAGCGATGGGACCGTTGGAACTTCGGCAAGCAGAAAAGCCGACGACGATGGTGGTTTCGCTCAATGCTGCCATCGTGTCCCCAAACGCGGTACGCTTTCCCTTCAAACACACAGAGGACGGGGGGATGCGGAATGTTCAATACTTTTCAGAGTGGCCTTGGGCAATCAGACAGTACCGAGGTAAAGTCAGAAACCTTATGGTTGTCATATGCAACCAGAGAGTACAGAGAATATTGTGGAGATGTTGCCTTATGCCACCAAAGTTTAGTGGCAGAAAGTTGGTAATTATAGGCCTGTATGAGCCTGTATGCTGCAGAAATATTGTGTGTTTGTACCCGTGTATCGGTCTTTTCCTTTTTGTTTGCTTTGTTTTTCCTGGTTGCCTTGCTGTTGCCTTGCTGTGGTGGTCCACCTTCTCTCTTTGGCAGAGTGTGTTTCCTGCATGTGTTGGCGAAAAAGCCTAGGTACCACCATGACAGAGGCACTGGCAATCTGGAAGAAGACGGCGGACGGCAAGTCGAGCCTTGGGCAATTGGTCGGTGACCCACAAATTTTGCTTGATGGTCCAATGTGTGATCATTATTTTATCGTTTCTTAAAGATCAACCGCGTTGAAGGATCCACTTTGCTTTTAAGTATCGGATCCTTATCGGATCCTTATTGTTTTGTTAGGTTTTGGCTCGCAGCCGCTTTGTATTTTTCTTTGCTGTCTCCCCACTGTAAGAACATCATGTGAGATATATCCGTGCATATATATATATACATACATATAAGTCCTATAGGAATTACATATACAACTGGCAGGTGCAACATCTCCGGAAGGGCAGGTGTTTGACTCTTCATGCAGTTCTTACTATAGTAGCAAACAAATCTACTGTACAGACCCAGACAATCCATGTATGGAATGTTACCTACATTGGGGTCATAAATAGGGTAAATGTATAACTATTCCAGTCTGGAATATGTTCATACATTTTCCGAACCCTCTCGTCACATCCGTAGGTACAACGAGCCTCAGTGGGACACCCATATTAGCGTCCATTCCAGATGTTCAGCGTTTTTTAGTGTGTTTTTTTTGTGTTTTCCTGAGCTCAATGACTTTCTGGTGATTTCTTCAATCTTTAGACCCGTGCAAATTACCCTCCCACCTGCACGGAGAAAATGGGGGGAAACAAACCATCCTTCCAAAAAAAGCACGGCCGCCCTCCTGGAACTACGCGGAACGCCCAAACCAAAAACACAAACACGTTTAAAGCGGGCGATTTGCTTCGCAGAATGCTGCCTTTTCAAAGCGGTCTTCCCAGTGACTGTGAGGAACAAGAAAAAGTTTGACCCTTGGCCCTCTCCGTTTACTCGCTACAAGACCACTGAAGGCGCCGGGTGTTGGGTCCCGAACCATGGCGAATCGCCGAATACGCCGCGTCGTCTTCAGCAGGATGAGATCGGATGAGATGTGTCCGGACCCGATTCCAATCACAACAGCCTCTACAGAACAACCAAGGTTTTACATGGTTCTACTATGGATTATATACGATTTTACACCAAAGGTCGACCCTGTTTTTCATGGTCGAACGGGTTTGGCGATTGGGCGGACTTGGGAGACCGGATCCGGACACTGATCGCTGTAACGAGTGCCTGGATGGACAGGGTAGGGGTGCCCAGAACTCAAAACGTTCTCTTTTGGAACTGTTGGCAGATTGGAAAGCAGGTTTTGCACTTGCAGAACGACGAAGCAACGAAGAAAAAAACTGGGTCACTGTTCAGAGTTCCAACACTCATCTTCACTGCTTTTGGTCTAACATGTTTCAAGAACTTTGACAAAGACTGGGTAAAACTGAACTTATATAGATCTCTCGAAAGGCCGGCCGTTTGGAGAAAAATGCAGAAAGTGGGCCGTTTGGACATCCAGTTTGAAGCAGAAAGAAAGAAGTTTATAAAGAAATCCAGATATAGCTCATGACTTTTTTTGTGAACTTGGGTTGTATATAAATGCAGTTGAACATCGATTCTCTGTCCAGTGGAGACAATTCTTTGCAGGAACCTCTTCGTTCCAACGACTAAATCCTTTATGGCCACCCGAAGCAAACGTTTGGTAGACCCAGGCTCCAAGCAAAGGCAACATTGATCAACATTGGATTATGTACTTCCTAAGTTACTCTAATTAAGTTAATGGTTAGTTCATGCCAGTTCATGCACAGTGTTCTCATGTCAGTTTAGAGCCAGTGAGAGAAAGGAGGTGAACACTAGCTCGCGAACCGTTTTGGTCCCGTTTGGGCTCCCGTGGTACCGAAGGTACTTCCAACCCTCTCCTGTCGCCCACCCTCGGTCCCGAGGGAGGTACGACAGAACCCCAAACAGCTGAGTGTTGGGATTTACGACTGGGAGCTCATACAGCTGGGTGTTGGAATGAGGCTGTGGGTGCACCTGGAGCTCGGCACTCACCCTGGTAGCTGCTCCCATGTTTGGTCATGTTTGGTAGGTCTATTCTGTTCATGTTCCCTAACCTAGAAGTCCAAAGACTATATTTTGACCGGCTGAAGTAAAGGAAGTTCCCTTTCAGTTCCCCTAAAGACCATTCGTTTTATAGTCTTTGACTCCGGTTTTTGGACAAAAACAGGGTGTCCCGGTGACCCACAGCCAGTTCTCTCTCGCTTTTCAGCCCATCGCCTTTTCGGCTTTCTCGTTTGGCTTTCTCGTTTTCCCTTTTTGCACAGCCTCAGTTTTCGGCCGACGAGTGCCACGTGTTTTGGGTGAAACAGAAGCGTGTTGGGAGGCTTCAGTAGCTTTGCCAAAGACTCCAAGTATGGCGCACGCGTGATCCAGTTGAAGCCAGGATCCATCGCCTCTTGAGCCAACGGGGGGTGGAAGAAGGGCCGTCGGCTCGTCGGTTGATGGTGGATGTGAGTGGCACAGTGGGTGCGGCCTGACAAGCAGGTGATGGACTCGTTGAATTCCGAAAGCACATGATGTATGTGAAGGTTATAATGGGTTGAGAGTAGATGGCGCAATCCCCAAGGTAGGTGGTTTATATGTACCCCTATATCAAAGACATCTTGGGTTGTGCCATCTACTCTCAATCCACTGTAAGCAAATGGGGACCGTACTGCAGTCAGTAGGGAAACAGTTAGACGGTTAGACTATCAGAGTGGGTTGCTAGCCACTTGCAAGCAAGTAGGACAGGCAGAGTGATAGGAGTGGCAATTACACCAGCTCCGTCACAGTATTCCGTATTCAGAGTGCAGAGTGCATGTGAAAGTTTTCCATCGGACAACTTTCGCTTTATTCCTGACACTTGCACAATGTCAGGCCATGTAAACCAAGTGGATGGGAGTTGAATCATAGGGTTCCCGGTTTGCACAGAGATAATACATGGATACATGGGTGATCACGGCTAGCTCAGGGTTCAAGTTATTGGAGTTTCAGGCGGTGCCTCTTTTTGGTATACAGTTCCAATACTCCAATTAGCTTTGACGAGTGACGGTGTCTTGATTCAGTATAACACAATCCAGCACTGGACACTGAGGGGGTACTCTGGTTGGTCCAAAGAATTGCAAATTATTTTGAGGCCAGAAACGGTGTCAACAAAACTTCTACCAATCATGAAATTCCCATGCCTACACCCAAAATTGACATCTTCGTCACCACTCCTCCGCTCCTCCGCTGAAATTCTACTCAAGAAAAACACCAAAAACAGTTTGTGAAACGGAATGATCTCTCTTACACAACAACAAAATGTGGAGGAGTGTAATGCTCCTCCGCTTGTTTCCTCCAATATAATTACTCCTCCACCCTGTTTTAAATATATACTACTATATAATACAGGGAACTCACTCCTCCACGTCTCTTCTAAAAACCTCGCAAGGTGTTCACGTGTTAGGAGTCTAGGGGGTAGGGGGGGCAGCTATTGAAAAACATGACAAGCCAGTGGGTGACTTGGCACCCATGGCGCTTTGACACATCCCTCACAACCCCCCACAACTTCCACACCTAACTCACCCAACACCTACTACCTCAATGGTTCCACCTCACACATTAAACTTTGCTATAGGGTATATATGCTCGACATCAAAACTACCCATAAACTTGCTTCTTTCCTCGAAGCCAAATTTAGCCTTAAAAACACGACAGAAATTCCGAGCCCGGTTCATGGGCCCCTGCAGTTCCAACAAGTGGCTTCTGCACGTCATCCGACCAAAGCAAGCACAGCTAAAGCTTTGGTTGTGCCAGGTGACTTTCCAGCTTTGTGGCTGGATGGGTTCAGTCTGAAGCCAGCAAACCACCATTCAACACCGAACCTTGGGCATCAAGCTTTGCTAATTTCCTGTGGGCTCCATGGGCACAGACACAAAAAAGAGTCCCAGACCACGCTTGAAAACCGTAGAGACCGACCCGATTTTTGAGGCCCAAAACGGCCTCAAATTTGAGGCCAGTTTTGGTTTCAAACATTAAAAAATGGAAGCGTAGAAGGCAAAATTTGAAGCCAGAATTGGCTTCAAAGATCTGCTGATTTCTCATTCGCGGAACTGAAAAACCGAAGCCCGCATTTTCATTTTCTGGATGCGCAAGTGCGCCATAAAGCGTCTCCATTTCCTCATCCATCAAATTTCACATACCTCCTTGCTTGCGACAAACCTTGTCTTTTCCACACACCACTTTTTGCCTCTATTGCACTTTTCAATTTTACGTTGGCGCCAAAATGCAACGTAAACATACACTCTGTGACTGAGGGGGTACTCTGGTTGGTCCAAAGAATTGCAAATTATTTTGAGGCCAGAAACGGTGTCAACAAAACTTCTACCAATCATGAAATTCCCATGCCCACACCCAAAATTGACATCTTCGTCACCACTCCTCCGCTCCTCCGCTGAAATTCTACTCAAGAAAAACACCAAAAACAGTTTGTGAAACGGAATGATCTCTCTTACACAACAACAAAATGTGGAGGAGTGTAATGCTCCTCCGCTTGTTTCCTCCAATATAATTACTCCTCCACCCTGTTTTAAATATATACTACTATATAATACAGGGAACTCACTCCTCCACGTCTCTTCTAAAAACCTCGCAAGATGTTCATGTGTTAGGAGTCTAGGGGGTAGGGGGGGCAGCTATTGAAAAACATGACAAGGAAGTGGGTGACTTGGCAAAGATGGCGCTTTTGACACATCCCTCACAACCCCCCACAACTTCCACACCTAACTCACCCAACACCTACTACCTCAATGGTTCCACCTCACACATTAAACCTTGCTACAGGGTATATATGCTCGACATCGAAACTACCCATAAACTTGCTTCTTTCCTCGAAGCCAAATTTAGCCTTAAAAACACGACAGAAATTCCGAGCCCGGTTCATGGGCCCCTGCAGCATGTCTATGTTTTCATATATCTTATTCAGGTCCGTAGTTGCGAAAGGATTTGACCGTGTGAATTTGATTGACCACAAGGTCACCAAGGATCCCTGTATTATGGTAATTGCAGGTGAAGATTCCAGTCAAAACACTATATTTGATATATAGAGAAGAAGAAGTTGTAGATGCCAACAGAATTGAATGAGATATTGGCTTGTGAGGATGAGCAAGGGTGGTCTGTTTCGATATATGCGTATGTAATTGAATACGCAGATCACCAAACCAGTCTTGGTTTTCGGTTAGTGTTGTTTCACCTCCGCCGTGCTCCTCGTTCATTCGCTCCTTCGCCAAGACCAGCCCGCCCCCGTTTCTCGCTGGCGCAAGGTGGGAGAGCTTGCGTTGCAAACCAACGAGCCGCGAGCGGCCACCATCAAATGTGCCACCGATTGCAAGTTCATGGTCGTTGGTAAGGAGACGTCCGGTGACGAAGACGGGGCGGGCTGAGCGGCCGGTACGTTTACTACGAGCCGGCGTAGGTGGAAGCGGTGACCGGCGACCGGCGCTTGTGATTTGTTGTGTTTTTCTTATGCATGTCTTCTAATGGTTGATTGGTCAGAGGTTGGATTTGGAGCCACTGAGTCGAGTTGAAGGACAGCATGTCAATGAGGTTCACAGACGAGGAGGTTGACAGATGTTTTTTTTGACAAGGGCATTCACAGTTTGACATGTTGGATTCATGATGGTCAGGAACATGCTGACCCGTTGTGCTCGTGCTCATGTTCATAGTCCTAGACCTGGATCGGCGGGTATGCCACAAGGTCTACACACACATGTATATATTGTATATATATTGATATATCAATTGTTCCTTTTACTAATAACATCTAATAACTACCGACCAATTACTACACGTCATTTTGGGAGAGCATGTTACCACTACGAAATCAAGTGGTGGAACTATCCCCTGACTGAATTACCTGCATAGTATCGTATGTGTCATAGGAATGCTCTTTGAGGACACTATAGTTTCTGTTTCACCCCTTCGGTGATATCATGATTTCACAAATGGCTGGACTTTGAATATTCGAGCCGAGCTGTTTTTGGGGTGAAGATAGGAGCAAGCGATGGCCAGCTTAGGCTTGTTGCAGATGAGCAAGCAATGCACACACACACACACACTCAGCAATGCAGCTAGTTTGCACCAACCAACACGGAAGAGGATTTCTGTTTGGTCTTTGGGTTTAGCCGTCTTCCATTGCATGGTCCACGAAACCATGACGTGAGGGTCGGCGGCGAAGTCTGTGCCTCTAGGGATTTGCTAGGCAACATTTCTCCACTGGCACACATCCCCCCCAGCTGGCCTGGCAGCGATCGTTTCAAGAGACAGGAGACCTTTCGAGAGGTGATGCATGAACACTTGGAGATGATGAAGTTTTTCAATACCAATTTGCCGGGCTGCAAGAAGCTGGAGTACACGGGGCAACACCCCTGTGTACATTTTGTGACGCTTGGAGCGGCGATATGTGCAACGTGTTTTTGATCAACCGATTCAAGAGCAACGTCATGACCTGACCGGCTGGTATTGACAAGAAGGACGTTTCAGGGTTGGGATCTAATGCATCATGAAGTAATTACAGGATGATCATCCAATCAATGCACTGTTGAAGAAAATCAGTAATTACTGTACATGATTACAACGTATATCACAGGCTTTTTTTAATTGGATTGTTCTATATTGTTCTCGCTTTCCCAACCTTTTTGCTTCGACCTATTTCCCAACTCGGTGACTTTGGGGGTTTGATCACTCTGGTGGCTTACACCTACATGTGAGTGAGCTTAAAGAGTTTCATTTTGGAACTAGTTCCTTATATCATATAGGTCAAAGGAATTTTAAGCACTTGCGCATTATAGATCGAACGTAGTATCGAATGTTGCGATAAAACCTTCCATTGGCCATGAGCTCTTGGTGCTGCAGGTGATACGCAGGGTGATCTTCTTAATGTCCCGCATTTTCGCATGATCATATTCCTCAGGAAGCGGACCTTCCCAGAGAACTATAGCTTCATGTTTGAAGGCCGACTGACCCGACAGCGACAGACCCGACTCCGGGGGGGTCGGAGGGGTCGGAGGGGTCTCAGATCCGCTTGGGGACCACAGCCGTGACCTCGGGGGTCCACCGGCAGCGGTGACAGAAGGGGTTTGTGTGACGATGATCATGGCCATGGCCATGGCCACATGGTGTGGCCAACAATGTCTCGAGGTTGCCCGGTAGTAGTTTCACTGGCATACAGGACATGAAAAAGCCAGCCTTGCGCTGACCAGCACACTGGAGCACACTGGGATCATCCTATATGGGAATCATCCTAAAAGCCACATGACAGAATTTAGTAACACATAGGAATCTTAAAGTATCTCGGACAATCGTTACAAGCGCCTGTTTTTAATGTCCCATGTTAAAAGATACTTTTGGGGGACAGGAGGATGTGTTTGATTGATCCTAGGTGGTCTAGAAGCAAGATTGGTTTTTGGGACCATTTTGGACAGCCCCCCACATGGCATCGTGGCCATACGCCCACAGAAAGGGCTTTGACTCCCTCGCCACTGAATGACATCGAGGCCGGGCCAGGTGAGCTTCTGATGTGAGTGTTTTTTTTGTGTTTTCTCACGTGAGGAAAAGCACATATGATTATTGTGCATCTTGAACTGCTTCGCGCTGCTTCCTCGAATTCCTGATGCAATGACTGACCCTGCGGTATGTGGCCCTGAAGACCCTCAACCTTCCCAGCCAGGGAGTTCACACCTTCAAAACCACAACATTCCATCTATATATATATAATATACAGGGAATGTGTCATGTGCGTGCATGAATCCGTTTTTAACCACCCCAAATGCATCCAAATGCCAAAGCATCATCATCATCATCATCATCATCATCATCATCATCATCATCATCA